GACAAAATACAGTGCACTACCAATGTGTGATTACCGTTCGAACGTCCTTCTACTAATATTTCAGATGGAATACTGCCGGGTCTGGTCATATTACCGGAAACCGTTCCGGACAACGTGCGATTACCTGAGGCCAACCGTAAATGGCTAACATCTATTTATATGTCTGAAGGTTTGATAATGTCTAGTTTCCGGCAGTGTTGAGGTCAGAACTAACCGCGCAAGACGCAGTAAGAGGGCGTACATAGGGCTACGAAATCTATACATATCCACTGCTCCTGGCCAGGCCCATCCTGAACCCGGGAGCAGTGCATACGCCCTCGTGGCCTAGCCAGGGGACATATACACCGCTCCTGGACCCAGGATGGGCTTGGCCAGGAGCAATGGATATATATATATATATATATATATATATATATATGTATAGAGATCTCGTCGCCCTAGTACACAAACATAAGAAGAAATACGAATAGTTAATAGAGCAATAGTTTTCACATGCGTAATTCAAATAATCGGTTCGAACTCTCTTATTATTTTCCCGTGCACCTCCTACCACCTCCTCTTGCGTCTGACCTCTCCATACGCCCCACGTCTCTTTACATATTCTACCCCCTATCCCATGTCCCCAACATGTGGAGTTTTACGCAGATTCCTTACCGATATATACCTACTTCCTTCCATCTACAGTCTACATCCACAATTGCACGTATCCGTACATGAATCCTTGCGATCACCGAGATGCGCATTTTTTAGGCACAAATATTTGACATTATCGTTTTTATATCTTCTTCATATTATTCCTTCCATTTCGGTTGCGCACACGCGCGTTGGCCAAAAATATCCTTTTATCGTCGATGCTCCGGCTGATTTCCCTCCGATTGCGTGCCCGTTTGACGCTAGGGGCTACACAGGACGTCTCCGTCTTCTGTCAAATGAAAAAGGCCACGTTTTTGAAAAAGACCCCGGAAATCACCGATCAGGACACCACGCTGCCTTTGTTTCAAAGTATACGCAAGCCCCCCCCCCGCCTAGGAATAGAACGTAGAATTCTAAGTACAACTTAGGCATTACTTCGCCGTAAGTTGACAGTAGCGGAGAAGAACTGCTAGCTCAAAAGTCGCTCTGGCGAACGCTAGACGAAAACCCGGAACCGGAGTCGGAGCCGGAACGGTAGTCGGAATCGGAGTCGGAAGTGGAGGAGGACCGAACGGGAATCGGAATCGGAGCTGGACGAAAATCCGGAGCCGGAGTCGGAGCCGGAGGAGGCCGGAACGGGAGTCGGAATCGGAGTCGGAAGCGGAGGAAAACCGAATCGGAATCGGAACCGGACGAAAATCCGGAGCCGGAGTCGAAGCCGGAAGAGGCGAACTCGTTCCGCGCCTCTCCCGAATCCAACCCTCCCAATCTCACTCACGCCCGCTCCACGCCCCCGTCCTCCTCCTGCCTCCTCCAGCCTCCTCCGCGCTCCTCTCGAAGCAAAGCAGGGCCATGCAGCAACGACCGTTTCAGAAAAAAACGGCGGGGGTCCGGGTGCAAAAATCCAGGGCCCGCGGTCCAAGGTCGGAGGTCCGAGGGCCCGGCCCGGGCAATAATTCGGGGTGGGGCATTTTTCTGAAACTGCGCGCACTTTTTCTGAAACCTCCCACGCTTTTTCTGAAACAACGCGCCCTTTTCCTGAAACTGCTCAGCCTTTTTCTGAAACGGCACGCCCTTTTTCTGAAACCGGCCTTCTTCTGAAACTGCTGTACACTTTTTCCGAAACGGTTGCTGCCGGACGGGACACTGAAAAATTGTTTGACAATGATAGGCATTAGAATGACTCCGCAACTAGAGCATTTGAAGCAATAATTCCGATAAGAGGTCTGGCGAACACGATTTAAACATTACAAAATCTGTTTTAGATACTTCCTTCGAGGCCTTTTGCGAGCGGAATGAAGCACAAATTTCCAATACTATCCGTGATGCTCTACACTTGTCGTCCTTCACGGCTCTCACCAAACCAAGCAATCGGATCAAAGAAATCTCTGCTGGAGATACATGTCGCCGATTGGTGGCGAATACGCTTGCAAAACAATACGGCCAGAGTCTTCAAACTGCTGTTTCGCCGCTGAATTCTGGAATATGCAATGCGAGCGGCACGGACGCAACTATTCACTACCTGCGGTATGTTGCGGAAACTTACCCACACAAGGTTATTATGAGCATCGGTGTTGTCGGAGCGTTCGATCATGTAAGTAAAGCCCGGATGTTCGAACAACTAATGGACGACCAATCGTTGCATGGATTATTACCCTTCACTGGTATGGCATCCACTCTCAATTTCTGTGACGGGATGACAATGGACATGCGCACGCGATTTTGCAAGGAGACGGAAAGGAAGAAGGGGATGAACATTATTCTGTCTGGTACTGCATGCTGCATTATGCCGGATTCGCGATCATCTCCCACCAAGGGCAGAATTTCTTGCATATTTGGACGACATTTACATTGACGAGATTACATCCATACTCCATGATGTCAAGGAGGAGTTGTTGCGAACATGTTGTATTGATGTCAACATGGGGAAATTGGCATTGTGGGGCCACACAGCCAGTGCGTGTCCAGAAACGCTTGCTGCTGAGGCTCCAGACGCTAGGCGGTCCGACAAACCACTGGAAGAGGGGCATTCGCGTGCTAGGAGCCCAAATTGGTAGCCCTGAGTACATCACTAGCTTTGCGGCTAAGCTAACTGCAGAGAGGACGAAGCTGCTTACCTACATTACGTACGAAGCTCTCCGATCTGCAAGTGGCTTGCAGGCTCAACCATATCTTACGCACCACACCACCCGAATTGGTCCGCCCACTGGCAGAAACCCACGACGCAGATATCTTAACGACATTCTGGTCCATATTCGCTATTCCATCAAAAACGGCACGGGACGTGAGGTTACATGGGATACGTTACGACACTGTGGTATTACAAACAACTTATTACAAGCAACTCTTCCTTTGAGGCTGGCCGGGATGGGGTTACGGAATGCAATCCGCACGAACACGGCGGCCTACTTGGAAAGCTGGGCAGACGTGATGCACGGAGATGGGGAATCAAATACTGCATCGACTTACGATGCTCCACGCCACGGCGCTTGATGAGACAATGGTGGGTCCGCTATGTCTACGAAATGCTGAACACGGAGGCCGGCTCAATGAAGCTTCGGGGTGGAAAGATCGCCCTACGTGGGCTGCCTTAGCCTCGGGAGCACGTCCGCCTGAAATCCAATCTACTGAAGCGTCCCTCGGAGAACATCGCCACAGATGGCAATATCATGCGTCTGCGCCGCTCGAACGTGCAGCCCATGCAAAACTACAGCGAGATTTGGCACCTCCGGGGGCGCGGCGGAATGCTATATCCACCGGGAAGGCCCGTTTACATTCGTGCATGGGTGTATTTGCCTCGATTTGGCTCCTCGTATGTCCAACTACACAGGGGCTAACTATTGCAAACGATCTGCTGCAATGCGCTGTGCGACGACGGCTGGGTGTGGCATGTATGATCGATGGGCCAAATCCGCATGAGCATGCTCGGCTGGCAATTGCGACGGAAAGACCTACATTTTCACGACATAAAGACATGATAGCGGCATGGCGACAAATCGACAAGTTTTCCAGGAAGCGGGAGGGAGCGTTCCAGATAGGAATGTCGAGTGTACTCGCGCGCACTAACATTATGTTCTGGTCGGTCTCAGAGGAGGACGATTATGTTGAAATCCACTAACCAGGCCAAAACCACATTTAGGGCTTCATTATGTTAAAAACTCAAGGTGTGTCAAACCATACTTAGAAAAATGGGCTCGGCGCTCCTTCGGTGAGCACACTAGCAGCGCCATCCTGCAACGACCTCATCGCTTTCGCTTAGAAATCTTGCGTGGGCATCGGGTGGGTCTTGGAGAGAACGGTGTCACATCGTGGCGCCATTCTATGCGATGCCATGCGATGCAACGCAATGCAACAATGATATGCTAAGCTATGGTATGCTACGCTATGCAATGCTGCACGGCGCTATGCTACGCAATGCAATTTAATGCAACGAAGGTTGCACATGTCCTTATATGCTATGTTATGTTGTCCAATGCTATGCTATGCTATCTTCTGCTATGCTACGCGGGCTCCACCTCCTCCTCCCCCTCCTCCTCCTTCCGTGCCAGCGCCGTGCAGGAGGAGGAGGCTGAGGAGGAAGGGGGGGGGGGGGAAGGGGAGGAGGAGGACGAGGAGGAGGAAAAGGACGAGGAGGGGAGGAGGACGAAGAGGAGGAGGAGGAGGAGGACGAGGAAGGAACGGAGCGCCGCCGCCGCCGCGGGGGGGCGTCGCCGCCGCGGCGGCGGCGACCCGTATTACGGGGACATATTCACTGCGCAGGCGGCGCGCGCGCGGGCCGCGCGAGGAGGAGAAGGAGGAGGAGGAGGCGAATGAGGAGGAGAAGGAGGAGGAGAAGGCGAAGGAGGAGGATCGGTAGGCCTTGAGTTGCTTTCCCCTCGCAATGCTTGCGTTCAAAGAGTGCCCACTTCCCCTTGCAGTGCTTGCGTTCAATGAGTGCCCACTCTCCCCATCGCAATGCTTGCAATAATTGAATGTCGGTGTCCATGAAAACCGTTTGGGCTCAAAATATATTATGTGCCGATTTCCGTTTAATGCAGCCGGCTGCTCAGATAGAGGCAAATATTGAAGAATTTCCAATTGATACAACTGCCGAGCAATGTGCCTGGGCCGCTCAGATAGAGGCAGACCTCTCGGAATTTGCAGATGATACAGCTGCCGAGCCAAGTACTTAGGCCGCTCAGATAGAGGCAGACCTCTCGGAGTTTGCAGATGATACAGCAAATGGTACAGCAGCAGATGATACACCAGCAAATGATACAGCAATTGTGGCATGCGACCGTGAATCATCGCGGTGGGCTCTGACGGCGTTGCACAAAGAGTTGCGGGGGAAACCTTCGGAGTTGGTGTCTGGTCGAGCGGTTGAGTCGATGGCGTGGCTGATTAAGAGCAATGGGTTCAGCAAGCGCCCCACAACGATTGATCCCGTCTCGGAGTCGATGATCACAGCGGTCGCCTCGTCCTCATCGTTCATGTCGATGATGTCCCTTAGCGAGGTCCACGGCAAAAGCGAGTGGAAAACTAAATTCACGTTGGTCCGTTTTTCGGCCTTGCACTTATTTCTGTTGTGGAGGCAAGGTTTGCAGATGGCGCGCCGCTTGCGCGCCAAGGTAGTCGAGGCGGGTGGAGAAATTATCTGTTTCAGCGAGTTCGCATCTTACGACGAGACACCTCTGCCAGTGAGGGTGCTCGCCGAAGAGAACGTCGTCGTGAATGTCGGAGCAAACGGCGCAGCAATAGTGGAACCAGGTCTTGACAATGATGGGATCGCCACGGCTGCGCAGGAGGAGCCCAAAGCATAGACTCGGCAGACGGAGTTTCACATTTCGATGTGAAGGCTGGCTCAATTTACCAGGGCGTCAGTTTGGAGTTCCCTTGTCCGCTGCAGGTCATGGACAGAGCCACGGGCGAGACCTGCGCCCATTGCCTCGGCTGGCAGGGCAGGAAGGGCTTGGGCGACATCTCTGCCAGACTCATGCGGCGCGATCGGCACGTGATAAGTGATTCTGACGGTGCTGTGCTGCGGGGCGAGCGGCGCCTCGCTACTAAGCGCCCCGGCGTTGGCGTGGCGCAGGGCTTCTGCAGGCTGCATCGCATTTCGGCGATTGCCTCCAACGGGATGGACAAGTTTATGAAGGACGACGTCAGTGGAATTACCAACGTAGCTTTATCGTTGAAGGCTTCGGGGGCCATGCGAATATTTCGCCGCGCCCTCAGGGCAGTCATTCGTGCGCGACTTGTCGTGCTCAGGGGTTCGCCTGGTTGCGTTGCAGATCGTCGCAGGGCTAAGCTGCTCGACGTCTTCTGTCCGATCCACCCTGGCAACCACTCCGCCTTCATCGATGGGGCCGTCGTGCAGCTCTGCGCCAATGGTAATTGAGACAACAAACATACATTCGAAGTTTATGTCTCAGGTCCATACGACTGCGAGGAGGTGGTTCATTACGTTTGCGTTCATTTCGTGAAGGTGGTGGCTGGACGTTGCTTCCGACCATGCCCGAGGTCGCGATGGACAGGCGCAAGGGATGCGCTGGAGAGGCTCGGGCTGTTGATGAATACGCATGGGTTATTCCAGGAGACATGCGTGGTGTTCTGCAAGAGTTACAACGTGCGCATTCCAGAGCAGCACCAGGGGCAGATGCTTCCGATCGCTGACGTTGTTGACGAGCCAGCCCAGAACTCCGAAGGGCATCTCCCCGTTGACCACAAGAGCGATGCCAATGCCCAGTTCATGAAGCAGAACCATAGTAAACCGACCAAAACCGCGAGCCAGCTCACTATTGTAGTATTTGGGTTTGATCGAAGCTGTGAACAAAGGGCCCAAGTGTAGTAACTCAAAACGCGATCAACTGTTGCGAACATTACGATAACACAAGGGCAGTCACTAAAAAACGAAGCCATGCGTAGAAACCCGGAACGAAACCACGTGTAATAGCTCAGAAAACGAAGTCAACTGCAGCAGCCGCAAAAAGAACGTGTAATAATTCAAAAGCGAGGCCAAGTGTAGTTCGGACATTCGGACATTGGGCCTGCAGCCGAGATGCCGCAAAAGGCATAGCAAAGGGGCGCCAGGGCGCCGCTACGGGTGAAAATCGATGGCGTGACGCAAGGCACAAGCGAACGAGAGAAAGAGAGAGAGAGAGAGAGAAAGAGAGACACACGCACAGAGGACGAAGAGAGGTCAACCAATCAATGTGTGAATGCAAATACAATTATGAAGCATAAACAATAAATTATGACGCACCGGCTCTCATTGTACGACGTGCCCCGATTTAATATGTTCCAAATATCCGTGGTTGCAATTTGTGACAAACCTGTGACCGTATGTGGTGCTTCCGGCACGCACTGCTGTGTGTAACGTAGTAGATCGTCCCACCATTTTGTTTTGGGACGGCCAGATCGTCGATGTGGCTGTAAGTGTACATCGCGCCCGGGCTCCCATTGCAAAACCGATCGCGCCCGCTCTTTTGTAGCGCTGGTGGCAACCGTCTGTGCCCATTCCCATTTGCGCGGTTTGATAGTTCAGGTCCAGTCAACAATACCAAGTTTTGATATCGTGGTTTCCGCATGCAGAGTTGCTCGCTTGCGCCAGTCTGGCCAAGGAGGCTCGAGGGGGTCGGCATCCTCAAGGTCTTCTGCTGCTGGTGGTACGGATGGTGGCCCACTGTGAACATCTCCCCCGCTGTCGGTGCCTGAATTGTTGGGGTCCTCGTTGTCCCCGCCGCTGGCGTTGTTGCCGCTGGCGTCGTCCTCTTCGTACGCTGGCTCGTGGCTGCCTGCTAACCTTCGCCGAGGTGTCTTGACGATCATCCAGAGCATTTGTCGCTGCGCCCCTTGCATGTCGAGCTCTTTTCTCGTCGCCCATGCCTCGCGTCCTCGCATGTCGAATAATGTGTTCTCATTAGTTCCTGCTTGAGAAGATGATATTTCCTCCATGCCGAAACAATCCGGTTCTCCACTTCCGCTTTGTGGCTGTCGCTGCATTGGAGCTTGCTTCCCAAATACTTTGTATCTCGGTAAGGTAGGAGCACCTCTATTTTCATGTCGTGGACAAAACGTGGGTCTGCGGTTGTTGCGTTCGCTTTGTTCTGTGCCCGTTATGCACAATTTTCGTTTTGTCTGGGTGTACTAGTAGCCCGGCGTCTGCCGCTTCGGTGATGATGTCGGAAAGCGTACTTGTAATGTCGTTGTTTGATCATGCGATGAAGAAGACGTCGTCGGCAAATCGTAAATTGTTCAGTAGGTCGTCGCTGTTGGGGAATAGTGGGGCCCCGAGTCGCTTGGCAACAAAAAGTTCTTCACCCGTCTCATACTTCTGAAACGCAGTTGAAGAATCGTGAACTCAATGGATCTCCTTGTTTTGTTCCACGTTCAATGTTAAATTCCTTGCTGAAGCGGTCGGTCTTGACGGAAGCCGTCTGGTGGTGATGTAACTTCCGGAGCAGGGCTATATATGGAACTGGTACCTGCTGGTCTTCGAAGGCTTTCTGCACGGCTTCGTGCGTGACGCTGTCAAATGCTTTCTTGAAGCCGATTGCCGCCATCCAGAGAGGTATTTGCCATTCGTCCGATATCTCGATCAGAACAGCCCTTGTGAATAAATGGTCGATCGTGCTCTTGTTGGGTCAAAGCCAGCTTGGTCTGGGCTCTGGTGACAGTCCAGCTGAACACACAAACGGTTGCACAAACACTTGGAGAAATTCTTAGAGCATCGGGATGGTCGCGATAGGTCGGTAATTTTCTGGCCGCGTCGGGTCACCGCTTTTGTGTAATACTTTGATGGCAGTGTACTTCCAGCTGGAGGGCGCAGGTGAATCAGGACGTAGTATGTGGTTGAACGTGTCTAGCATGACTCTCTTGAGTGCGCCCCCTCCTGCCTTTAGCATCTCTGCCAATCTGCCGTTGGTGTCTGGTGCCTGGTTTGTCTTCAACTGACGAAGCGCGACAATTAGTTCGGTGTTCGAGAAAGGGTGGATCTGTTCAGGTTCCTTCTGCCCGTGGTGTTGCTGGGTGCTCTGTAGAAACTTGTCGCTCTGTCGTCCAGTGGGTCAACTGTAGTAACCATGACAATGAGCCAACTGTAGTAACTCAAAAACGAGGCCACGCGTAGACACCAGGAACGCTACCAAGTGTTGTAGCTCAAAAAAGAACCCAACAGCAGCAACCGAAATGCAGGTGTAGTAACTCAAAAGCGAGGCCGACTGTAATTGCAAAGCGAGGCCAAGGGTAGTGACTCAAAACCAAGGCCAACTCTAGTAACCAAAAACGACGCCAAGTGTAGAAGCGAAGAACCTCATCCCCTAGAGCAATGAATCTGTGATCGCTGGGCGCGCAACCTCGGCCCACGACGCGGGTTTGCCCGGGGCCATTCCGTCGCCCTCCCCTGTCCCCGCCGCCCGTCCTCCCCCCTGTTTCTCGCCGTCGTCTTCATCGTCGTTGTTGTCCTCCCGGGAAGTGTAGCCGCCGCGTAATCCGAGTGTTTTTGTTTGTGTTGTTTCTCGTGCCCCTGCGTTGCTTTGCACCTGGTCTGGGAAATCCGTTGCCCGGCATCGATGGCGCATCTGCAACGTCGCAAAACGAAACAACAACATGGGCGACGTTCGCGCAAGGGGGGCCACAGACGCAATCCGTCTTTGGTCATCTGGGGACTGGCGAATGGGTCCGATTGAACATTCGCTCGACGCCCCCGTCTTGGGCAGGAACCGACCGTCCCGGCATTCCTATTGCAATGCCGCGGAATGTTCTTAGAACCCAGAGGTGTCTAAAAAATGCAATGTTCTTAGAACATAAGCCCGATGCGTTAAAACAAGACAGTCGCAGCCAGAAATGTTCGAAGAACATTTCGCTGGATGCAAAAATTCTTAGAACGCTGTTTGGTGGGGTTATAGGCGAGCGGGGACGCTTCGCCACTGCTTGACAGTCGGGGATCGCGCCCCCAGCCTCCGCAACTACCTGCCTCCACGCCGCCGCGGGCTTTGCGCGCCGAGCGTGCGCGCGGCGTTCCGTCGCGGAGGCAAACCGTGCATCGCCGTGCTGGTCCGGTCCGTCCTGCGACGCGCGCACTCCCAATCGTTTGTGCACAGCGCATTGTTGCTCCGAGTGGTGAGCGCCCGCGCAAGGTCGCATGCAAGGCGCGTCAAATGACCGCGCTGCCGCGAAGAGCCCGCCGCCAGATGATATCCCGCGCTTTGCCAGTTGAGGCGGCATTCGCGCGCGTGCTCGATGGCGCCTGTAGTCGTGGGGGGCGGGCGACTGCTTACGTGTCAAGCCTATCGGACGAATGGAACTGCCATCCGTACTGCCATTCGCCAAGAATTTGGCAGTGTTGGGGCCGTCCTGAGGAGCGGCCCCCAACGGCAAGATCATCCCAATGCGGCGGTTCAGTCTATCCAACGGCGTTGAACAATTCTTACAGCCGAGCGCCGTGGACCTGCTTGGCTTCCCGCTGCTGACATTATCTAAAGATCGTAATACGTCCGCACAATGAATCGAGAACCGTTGCTGTAGATTTTGGAGTGCTTCTGCCCAGCTTGCCCAATGCGCTGCAGTGGGGGTCCGCTGTGCAGCGCGCATCCCCATGCCAGATAGTTGCACAAGAAAAAGCAATTGTAATGCCATGCCTGGCGCACCGTACCGCGCACTGATGGGCCCCGTTCTGCGCCGCACGGAATCTGACACCCACAATCTCATTGGCACGTTCAGCCGCTTGCGGAAAGGCTTCCGATGGTGGTGGCGTGCGTAGTAAGTGGTTCAACCGTGGAACTGCGCAGTAGTACAACGTGAGCCATGCTGTCTGTGGAAGAGGGGGGCTGAGACATGAACGATAATAGCTGCGCGTATGTCGATATTACGTGTGTTTACGAATGGTGTGCGTGCGTTTTGCAACGCTTCTGTAACGTCTGAAACTCACGTGCCACGTATGTCGTCTAGGTGCGCTACGAAATAGAAGCAAAACGGCCCCGGCATTGATGTGTCGCCTTGTTCACCACCACTGGCCTGTAGGATAGTATGTGCGCGCCTGGTTGCATCCCGCCATTGAAATGCTGACTGTCTATAACACCACGCGCGGGCAAACTTCACCTTCCATGCGGGGCGGAATCAGTCAACTGGTGTTCAAACATGAATGTCTTTTTGATGCGGTCGAACGCTACCACTCCGCCCGCGCTGGTTATGACATTTGTAGCGTATTCTTCCACCAGGAACCGAAAAGAGGTGAATGGCGGCGTCCGACCAGCTACGATCCCTGATGCCAGACTTGTCAGGGTGAGCTGCTATGCGAAGAGCTTGGTGGAATTGTTTCGGTGGCGTCTCAACTACCAGCCGACTCAAAGCGTCTCCAGCGGCCGTAGGTGGTCGCCCTCTTTCGTAAACTGAGATGGGCGAAATCCGCAACTGACACGCGATCGATCTTAGCACGCAGCTTTGGCTAGAAGATCTGCCGCCGCACGCAGACAATACAACTCTTCGCCGCACTCTAAACATAATAGCGCGATTGCAGAGATAACTGTATTTAAGACAACTGAGCATCGGGATAAAACTCCAATAGTTCCAGGCGTAAGCGTGGGCCGCGCAATCGTTGAAGCGTTGCATCGGTGCCCAGAGTCAGCCCTGTAGAAGGAAGCTCCAGCGCAACGTGGCCCAATTCGTGTGATGCCGTTCTTCAGACGCTGATTGTGGGCGGGATTCAGAGGCTTCACCGTGTTATTGCCAGCGACAATCCATCTATCCCAATTTCCCGCATCGAAAACATGTTGTGTCTTCCCAATTCTCGCTCACCCGCTTGACCACCGTGGGAGGAGGATCAACAGAGCCCATGCCGCTGCATAATCGTCCTCGTTGTTCCGCTGTTCCATCGAGAGTGCCGTCACACTGTGGACCGTGGCAAAAAATGCGTAAGAGTTCTGACGTGCGAATCACGAGTGCATCGGAACACTGCTTTCACGTACGAGTGTGAGCTCCTGTGTTCCTGAAGGTCGATACCACTGAGATGGCGCCACCCTTTGGGGAGGTGGGCCAAACATGCCAGGACGCAGAGGTACGATTATTGCACTATCGTTCTCTGGAGGTTCGGGTGCGCCCCTTGCTGCCGCTCCTTGGAAAAAGGGGTGGAGGTCCGTCAAGATCCGTTGGTCGGCTTAGTCTGGGGGCTCTACCTTGACGTCGTTCTGGACTGCGTTCCCGTTGTGGTGGCATTGGTGGCAACGAGCGGGAGATGGAAGCATGGACATTCGCACTGTCGGAGATGACTTCTACCACTGCTACGCATGCTGATTCGAATCGGGCAACCGCTGGTCTCAGCGTAGTGCACCAGTAGAATATTTGGTGGTGAAGCCCCTGTCAAGGAACCCACAAATTTCCAGTCCCCCAAGAGGCTTCAAGAGGTCCAAAAGAAGCTCCCGAACTGTTCTCAAGAGGCTCCCGAGAGCGCTCGGACAAAACCCCAACCCACGCATGGTGGCTGGATTGGCCAAGCGCCACTTGATAGTCGGGAATGATCATGGCGTAGCCGGAGCTGGTGATACTGTACGCGGAACAGGTGTTGCCGTATTCGGAAAATGTATTGCGGTAGTCGGGAATGGTGTTGCTGTAATCGGAATTCGTGGAGCTGTAATCGGACTGGGTCGTGACGTGCTCGCAAACTTGGTATTGCCGTAATCGCAATTTGTTGTGGTATAATTTGAACAAATATTGTAATCCTAAGAATGGGTGACATTACGGGAAATATTCAGGCATTCCAGGAACAAGTTCGGCATTCCAGGAACTGTTTCGGCAAAAAACAAATCTCGCACGTTCTGGAAACAAGTTTCGCCCGTTCTGGAAACAAGTTTCGCCCGTTCTGGAAACAAGCCCGGCTTGGAAACAGGCTTCTCCCGTTCGGGAAACAAGCGCCGCCCGTTCCAGAAGCAGGCCTCGCTGGTTTCAGAAACGCCAGTGCTCCAATTTCTCTATCGGGTATCTTTGGTGTCTCGTCATTTCTTATACCGATTCCATGTTATATTTCGTTATCTCTCTCACTTTCACTCGCTCTCGTTGTCTCACTCGATCAGCTATCTCTGGCTTCTCGTTTGTTTTTGTACTCTTCCCATTTTCGGATTACTTCTTTCCCTCGCTCTCACCAGCTCGCTCGCTCTCTCTCGCTCTCCTTTTCCATGTCGTGTTGCTGCAGCGCTGCGGTGGGCGCACCGCGCTCCCCCACTTGAGCCAGATAGAACTCACGGGGGGCGTGCGCGGAGAGACGCCCGCGGCGCGCTGCGCAGCCCCCCCCGCCCCCGCCTCACAGCCGGGGCAAATGGGCAGAAGAGCATCCTCCGAGAACACGAGACCCTCCGCCGGCGCAAACTGAGAAACGTTCGAGGGTGCCCTCCCCCCCAAAATGCACAAGAGCAGCCAACAAAGGAGGAACCGAACTCTGGATGTACCGACGCTTTTTTTCCAGCCCTGCAACTGACACTTGCACAGGAAAGCGGATCCTGGATTATACGGGATCCTGGTCTATACATCTTTGGACCGAAAAGCGGACCGGAGCGAGGGGCAGGGATCGAGTAGGGGATCAACTACAGAATTGATTGACCCCAGAAAGGATTTTGTCGCCGAACCTGCGAACAACTACGCATAATGCGCCGTAGATCTGCGAACATTCTACGTGTTTCTTGCATATTCGGCGGGGTGCCAATTTTGGAGCAAATCAATTCTGAAGTCGATCCCCTATTCGAAGAGGAAGGCACCCAGCTCGAGGTAGGTCCTCGCCGTCGGGAGGAGGAGCCTCGCTAAACGCCTGCGCTGCAGGCGCCAAGCTCTTCCGCCTGGCCGTCGGGCACCCTCAATTGTTTTGGTGCACGCCCATCCTGTCGCAGATACAGGGCTGACCGCCTTATTTCTAGCAGCCGTGACTAATTTGAGACAAGCACGCCTCATCGCACGCGCTCCAGCACGCACAGCGGGCTTCTGTACTGTACAATCTCCCTACGTCTAGATGCACCCCAGTCCCGCTCCATCCTCCCTGACTTCAGCGCGATTGATTTCAAAGGGCTCAAAAGAAATGTGCGCTCGTAAAGGGCAGTGCCAGCGCAATTGAAACCTGCACGGCCACACGATAGGCAAACATTGATCTGCAGACAAACTGTCTACCAGAACGATCGCAACCACGATACATTGATGTAGCGTACGTGCTGGCTGCTCTCCGAAAACAAAAAACCGTAGCTACAAACCAGCATCCCGTTCATCAACGCGTGCACAACATCACGAGCAAGCTGAAACGTCAAGACTGCCTCCATTAAAACGGATTGCATCGAGAGGCCTAGCACTTGTGCAACGTCACTGCTTGATCAAGTGACCCTGGTAAAATAGGTCGGAACCGTCTCTGAATTCTCGACATCGTCGCTGTCTGAGTCAGACGCTTCCCCTTCGCTGGCACCTCTCATCAACATCTCCTTCTGGGCAGTGGCATGGTGCAAATACTGGTGAGTAGCCACAGCGGTCAGTGGAAAGAAAAAGAGGCCCACGAGCACCTGCCAGACCAGAAACGTGCCCACGGCGGATGGTACATGGTTGCAAACGTAGCCTCGAATGGATTCCTGGTAATATGGATAGACGTTGGTAGCGTTCAGCACGCCTCTGGCAGTGCCAATTACCGCCCTCACGACTGCGTGAATCCCCGGAACATCCAACTCATGAAGAGCGGAACACGTGTACCCCTGAGGAATGATCCGCCATCGTGCTTGAAACGACTGGTGTCGGTTGGCGTGTTGGCTTGAGCTCCCCCGGCGCATCGAGACCACCAGGCGTTCACTTTCTGGACGACGTCCCTGCGTTTCTGGCTTTCCAGACCGCAGGCGGTGTCATAATCCGAAGTCAGGGTGACAACTTCCACGGGGCCTCCTCCTCCTGCCCCCCCCCTCCCGCCCACTCCCCTCCCCCAAGCGCCAACCCAAGCGCGGAAACGGGTTCGCGCGCAGGCTCAACTGGATAACGAGGGTCTTGAACTCCTTGTATACTTCGTGAACCGCGTCGATGTAATCCCACCAGCCCTCTGGGCGTAGGTGGTCTAGAACAGATCCTCTTCCACCCCTCCCTCTTCCCCCTTGGGGAGGGGTTTACCCCTCCCCCTACCCCCTCCCCTGGACCTGGACGGGGGGGGCCGCGGGTAGTTAGAGCGTCCCAGATGGCCCAAGACGGCTCCAAGAGCGCCTCAGAGAACCCAAGATGAGCTCCAAGATGGCTCAAGATAGCGCAAGATCGCTCGAGATGGCTCCTAAGATGGTTCCAAGAAGCCCAAAGACGGCCCCAAGATAACTCCAAGTGGCCAAACAGCTCCCCAAGGAGGCCCCGAAGAGGCCAAAATCGTCCCAAAACCTAAGGAAAATCAATGATTTTTGCTTTCTCGCCTTTTCGCTTCCGATGGCCATCCGAGGCCTGGAGATGGCTCCAAGATGGCCCAAGAGGGCCCCAAGAGAGCCCCAAAAGAGCCCCAAGACGGCCCCAAGAGCGCCCAAGAGCACTCCAAGAGCGTTCCAAGAGGGGTCCAAGAGGCGATTTTAGGGGCTTCCGAGGGGGGGCGCTAATTCACCCCCCCCTCTTGTTTGATCGACTCTCCTCCAAGATGGCCCCAAGAAGCGCCCAGGAAGCCCCAAGAGGTCCCAAGATGGCCCCAAAATGGCCCCAAGAGGCCCCCAAGAGGCCCCCCGGAGGCCCCCAAGAGACCCCCAAGAGGCCCCAAGAGCCCCCCCAGATGCACCCAAGATGCTCCAAGAGGCCTCGGCGAGAATGCCTAATCATTGATTCTACACAGGTTTTAGCCACATGGAGGCCTCTTGGGGGGGGGCACGGATTAAGATGACTCCAAGAGCGTCTGGGAGAGCCCAAAATGACCTCCAAGATGGCTCAAGATATCCCAAGATGTCTCATAATGGCTTCCTCTGTGTGCTGCCCACTTCTCTGATCGAGGCAATTCCTCTGGGCATCGTTTCTGGATGGGCTGGTGGGGATTCGCGAAGCGACAACAATTTTCTATCAGATCGGCATAATGGTCGAGCGGGTTGAAGATGTCACCACGCAAATAGAACCGTGCTACGTTTGCTATAGTGCCGTGGTCACCGTGCAAGATGGACAGGTCTTCGGCGTACCGAATGAAATTGTCATCAACGTCGCGGCAAATCTGGGAAAGCCCAATGATGGAGGATAACATGCATGCAAATATTAGGGCAAGCAAGCCGATGGTAGGTACAAAAAAGAACGCGTAAAAAGCAGATGATCGCTCTGCACGCCGGGACAAACAAAACGAATACCTGGCGCTGACAACCTCGACCATCATAGCCAGTGAGAGGACGCACATCAGCACAAGCGGGAAACACATCCACCAAACCCACACATAATGTCCTTGCTCCTGTTGTCTGTCGCGGAACCGTATCGCTTCATTCTTGACATCGCGAATGCTCTTGTCAAACACGTGTACCATGTGTGCGAGATCCGTCGTGGCGTCGACGAACCTACTGCCGACGTGCGACATCAACGGATTTCGTTTGCACTTCGCCATCTTTTGGACTACGGTGCTCAAGTTGGAAGCAGTGTCGTTGAGCTGCTGCGTTCGGTTGAGCAGGTTTGCGGAGTTGTCGCTCAAGTGCCTCACTTGCGCCGAAATTATGTGGACGCCCTTCTCCCAGTTCGAGCTTCGAGTCACCAATCCCGCGGCGCAGATCACAAACACCATGACCGCTGCCCCAGCAGGCCAGATGCACCGACGCCCGCCTCGAGACCATCTCTCGCTAGGGGACTCGTCCTTCCTCCGCTGCACGGCGCAGAAGACGAAGGGCCCGTCGGGACTTCTCCGCGAGCACCATACGCAATCGAGAAACCTTTGACGCCGCGCCCAAGGGGGTAGGGGGGAGGGGGAAGGCTTCTCAGAAGGAGGCTGCTTCGGGAGAGGGGGGAAGCCTCGTTAGAAGGAGGCTGCTTCTCAGAAGGCGCGGGCCTTACATCTGCAGACAAGGCCCCGTACCTTCTAAGAAACAGGGTGCTTCTACGAAGGAGGAGGAGGAGGAGGAGGAGGAGGAGGAGGAGGAGGAGTTCAACATCTGCAGAAACCCGAACTATCGCAGCTCCGCGTGGACTTCTCGGATCGGCACCGGGCCCCCCTTCCTGGCGCGCGGAGCGCGCCGGGGGCGGCGCCGAAAGCGCCGCCAGGGGGCCCAGCACCGATCCAAGAGCTTCGCGTGGAGCCGCGAAAGCCTATGCTTACTCCAGATTTCGTAATAAAGGGAGGGGGGTCTCATTTCGGGGGGGGGTCTCTTCCGGGCTATCTTGGAGGGCCTGGGGGGTCTGGGGACGATGTTTTGGAGGGTTCTCCCACGGGGGAGGTCTGAAATGACTTGTCTTGGAGGGTCCAGACCCCCTCCCTTTTATTACGAAATCTGGAGTATGCGGAACTTTCTTCTTCGAATGGTGTAGCCGGCCCCATTGTTCCCATCCTTCATGTTCTGGTAGGTCATGCGCGTGCCTGCCCCGTCCCAGGTGACCGCGTTCAAGGGGCTCCCCTCACCCCCCTTCCGCGCGTGGCCGAAGCCTGTTGCACTTGGCGACCCCGGTGAGGTTGCTGCTTCTTAGAAGGCGCCGGCCTTACATCTGCAGACAAGGCCCATGCCTTCTATGGAGCAGGGTGCTTCTACGAAGCCTTCTCCCCTCCCCCTACCCCCCCTCTGCGCGTGGCCGAAACCTGTTGCACATGGCGACCCCGGTGAGGTGCGCCACTGCCAGGCCGACGACGAGCAGCGCGGCCGCGGGCCTGCAGGTGGGCGACAGGGGCAGCTGGTGCCAGCGGTCCCTCAGCTCCCAGAGCCTGGGAGCCTCCCAAATGGGGCCCGAGCAAATTCCAGCTGTACTCGGCGGCGAGCGAGGGCGGAGGGATGAAGGGAGAGAAAGCCCTCCGAAGCCCTCCGGCCTCCCGGGGGGCTCTCCGTGTCTTCGGAGGAGGCTCAGGGGACTCCTCGGAAGGCCGGGGGGGCTTCCGAGCCTCCCGAGAAGGCCCGCCCCTTCTCACGCCTCCCCCTCGCTCGCCTCCGATCTATACATGTCCACTGCTCCCTGGCCAGGCCCACCCTGAACCCAGCAGCGGCGTGTACTCCACGGCCTCCGGGCCTGGCCAGGGGGGCATGTACACAGCTCGTGGGCCCAGGGAGGGCCCGACCGGGGGGCAGTGGATGTGTATGGACCGCGTCGCCCGACACCTGGGGTCGGAGGATCGCGCCGCAGCGCCGATGCATTGTCAATCCATGGGCAATGCGTTGGCGGTGCCTCGGCGACGTCGGTGATGCTTCGGCGCCATCTACGTGGAGAGACTCTGGATCCAGATCGAGCCGCATCGTCGATGCGGAGCGATCCTTCGACCCCATCTGCTCGGACCCCATCTGGGAGGCCTAGAGCAACTAGACTCGAACTGATCCGCATCCCCAAGTTAGGCAAGCCAACGTTGACGACAATCTTAGGGATGCGCCCTCGGAAACCGAGGACATCCTCAACATCGGCATCGATGTGAGGTGATGCCAAACATGAGGACAGGGATGCGTCGCCGCGCTGTTTGTTCTCGACGTGCCCAAGTGGACGGCGCCGACAGCACGGCAGACCCGCTGCAAACCCTGCGCCGCGCGCCCCGAGCAGACGAGGCCGCCACGCGGCAAACCCACGGCGGGCCCACCGCGCCCGAGGCGGCGTCTGTGCCGGTGGCTGGGGCGCCCTCCCTGAGACGGAAGGCCGCGTGCTGGAACAAGCGGCGCGGCCATGCGCGTTTCAAGCTTGAAGCTGGTAGTATGAGCATCGCTTCACCGATCATATCCCCACTCGCGTGGCTTGGGCCCCTCTGGCCGATTTACCCCCCCTATATGGGGATACAGGCCGTTCCCTTCGGGTTTCGAGGGGTGCATCCCCAACTGGGGGGTAAGTTGGTGGGGGTCTCGAAGGGGTGGATTGAACGATAATTGCCGATCATAGAGCCGTGGATAGCGGTCGGGATCGCCCATGGAGGAGAACACCCTGAGCCAATCGCCCATCTCGAAGCTGGGAGGCGTGGCCCCCTCGTAGACCACCTGTGGCACGCAGCGCCCCATGTGTGGCAGGTACGGCTCTCCACAGTAGCCCTCTGGGCAGAAGCATCGCCCAACGTAGCACACCGCGCCCTTGGTCATGCACGGCACCCCGACGCACCTGCCCACCATCTTCGTCTCGCACGGCACGCGGTGTTTGGCACATGTCGGCCAGACGCAACTCTCGTTCGCGCCCTCACCCGACCACCTGAACGACGATCAAGAACATGTCTCCCGCGAGATGGCATAGCGAGCTTACGCGGTGGCTTACGCGGGCCGCCAGCGCGGTACGCTATGCTGGAGGCGAGGGCACTTACGCGCGACCTTACGCGGGAAGCCTACGCGCCCGTGCCGGCGCAGACGACCCCTCGAAAGCTGGGCGAGGGCTGCAAAAACCGTGGCTGCTAAAACGGCCCTCCCGGACAAAAAAAACAACAACTTCCCAGAATGAGGCGCGGCACGCGAAACAGTCAACAGGCTTCTTCCCGGAAGGACAAAGACAGCTTCCCGGAGGTCGATGTCAGCAGCCACGGATCTGGCAGCCCTTGCCCGGCTTCCGGTTTCTTTTTGCGTCGCTCGCCTGTCGTCGACCGCCGTCACGGTAGAGCCCTCCTGCGCGGGAACCAGGCGCGGCAGCCGGGCGAGCACTCCTGGAGAGGGCGGGGGAGCACACATTCACACGAGCTTTAGACACCCAGGCCGCCCTCCTGCATGCCTCCCTGGCGAGCAGCGCGCCCATGGTTGGTCGGTGAACACATCGACCGTCGGGCGGATGTCTTGAGCAGCGAGTGCCCTGGGGAACCGGTGCATGTGGGAAGACAAAACCACTGAGGAATTTAGCTGGCCGGATCCGCGACACGCAACCCGCAACGTGTTGACACGGAGCTCAACACGTAGAGGGAACACGTAGGTCTGGCGCGATACATTCACCAAAGCGTGGACCAACAGAGTGAGCCAACACGCAACGTGTTAACACGGACGTTTTGCACACGGTACGCGTTGCGTCTCAAGACGGGCGTATCAGGGCAAAGCGGAGCGTCCGGTGCAATGGCGCAATGCTGCAGCCACTGAGGCAGCGGACGACTTGATGGAAGGGAGGAGTCAGGAGTCAGGAGTCCCAGGACGAAGTCCAGAATCAAAACCACCTTTAGGACCCCTTGTGGGTCCTGGGCTTCTTAGCCCTAGCCGCGAGCTCGGCTTTACTGTAAACCTTGGGAAAAAGGCCCCGCTCGATTCGCTTCAAATACTCGGTACGGTTGCCAGTCACCTGATTGGGGCACAGCTTACCGAGCCCTCGCAACTGCTGATCCCCATACATCCCACAAGACGCGCAGAACCATATTCCCAGGTCCTGATGCAGCCGCATTTTATGGGAGGGTGGGTGAGCCCCCCAGCAATGTGTATCCTCGCCCCCTCGGGAAGTCCTCTAAGGGAGCCATCAATTGCAACAAGCTTGAAACATGGAGTTTTCCGCCACGCTCGGACCATGGACGCTGCGGCTGAACCTCGACAAAGGCGGCATCGACGCCCCGAATCGTCCAAAGCGTGACTGGTCTCGAAAATTGAAACGGCCTCGGCCGACGGCGGAGGGGGCACCCCCAGGACGGGCGCGCCGAAAGCAGGATGGAGGGCAGTTCCTTCACCAGTGCTCACGCCGCTCACAGGCCCCACAGGAGCCTTCCCCCCCCGCCGCCTGTGCCGACCTCTACTCACAGCAAGTGCGGACTCACTCAGAAAGGTTTTTTTCCGCCTCGAGCGCATCCAAAGTTGCCCTCAAAATACGCATGCGAATCCAAAACACCTGCTGCTCTAACTTCAGGATTGGGCCACGGACGTGCTGAGGGAAACGGTGCTGGCCAGCCCCCCAACTCGCAAGCTCATCGGCAGTGAGATTCCCACGGACCAACCAAGATTGCGCCTTCCCTTCAAACACCTCTTTGGCCCCCATATGACTGTGCGTGAAGAGAACAGTTACATGACCTTTCACACGGGTGGCCATTACTCGGCCGACCTCAGCCCAAAGATCTCCATTCTCCCCTGAGGGGGACATCTCACGACCGCTGTGCCACCCATCAAAAACAGCTTTGTTGTCAGTGATGTATATGACATAATTGGAGGCCCACTTCAGAGCACACAAAAACATGAATAACTCTCCTCGGGGTACAGACTGCTGCGGGCCTGGGAGCACACCAGAGACCGTCCTGAGGATATGCATATTAGCCTCGTCGTCGAACTGCGCGAGCCCCACGCCCACGCGTCGGAAGAGCGGCGACGATGTGTCGGCTCCTCCACTGGCATCCCCGAAAAGCAAAACGGGCCTCTCGGGAGAGCCCGCACCCAGGCAGGCCTGGAAGATGCCCTCGTCAAAGCTGGTGTCCCACCAGCTCTCCTCGGCTGCAGGCGGAAGCACCTGAACGCGATCAGCAGGGAGCAGACCGCGCAGCCACATGGCCTCGTCGGCCTCGTGCTGCGCGTGGGCCTGCCCGACGAGGTAGTCCGACCGCTCGTAGACGACCTCGCCGCAATTGGCCTCGCAGCCCCAAATGCGGTGGAAAGCCGTCTCGGGGCAGCGCCTGCACCGTGGGCAAATGGGGTCCACCTTCACTGTCGAAGCTGCATCAGCGCGTCGCTGGCGAGGCCAGCTCCCTCCAGCGGCAACTGTAACCAGCAGCTCCACGAGGCGCTTGCCCCTCGGTGCCGCCTCCAGCTGGCCGAGAAGCTGCCGCAGCGACGACATGTCAGCCCCGGCGCTGAGGCCACCGCCGCAGAAATGCTGCTCCGCGAGCTGCCACAGCAATGCCTCAGAGGCCCGATCGAAGTCAGCAAAAAAGTACTTCAACCCATTCAATGCCATGATGTCCGAGTAGCGGTGTTCAGGGAACTGCCACTCCGTGCCGTCAGGCATTATCCAGCATGTTGGCGACATTGGGTCCCAGTTCCGCTCCAGCAAGTACACGATGACGGCGGACATGGGCCCGCGAACATGTCGTGAGCGCCTGTTTGCTGGCATCGCCCGCAGCCGAGCGACGACCGAGCTCCACACACGGTGAACGCCAGCTCGAATAGCAGGGGATGTGAACCACTGCTTCAGCCAGAACTCCACGCACTCATGGGGATACTTGACGCAAGGATCCTGCGACGGCCCCCTGATGGCCAAGAGCGAAGTCTTGCATAGCCCGCGCCCTCCATTGCCGACCACAGCTGCAAGACTGCGGCGAAAATACTCCAGCTGGGAGCCGAACGTGCCGTAGACGTGATGCCCGTAATTGCCAGCGGCCGCTGCGCTGGTGCGCTCCAGACGGCTGGTGACGCGATAGGGCTTGGAAACCCGCGCGTACTTGAGCACCTTCCCATGTAACTTCGCATGCTTGACCACCCGCTTCCTGCGAGTATGTCGCGCATGGCGAACTCCCCCTCCTTGGTCGATGCCTAGGAAGGGGGCTTGATGTACGGCGCGCACTTGAAACCCACGAAGCCGAAGTCGTCGCGAGATCTCAACAGCATCACCGTGAACTGAACACGCGATAACTGATTTATGTGAGGCGTCCAACTTCCACTTGGCCAATTCGTCACAAGTATTTGCAAGACAGGCTGTGACCTGAGACCGCAAAGCTGAACTGGGCCCATGCGTACGCTGCGATAGATCATCAACCCAGATCCGATGACTGAGCTGAACGTGTACACAAGAAATCTTAGCTAACACAAAGTGAACCATACATTTGGCAAATCTTGCGCCTCCTCGCAAACCCTGGCTGATGGAGTGAGCGACGGAGAAAGGTTCGCATACAGCTCCAAATGGTTCCAGTGTCCGTGGGGCAGCGCACCGCTCCATCTCGAGAACCAAGACAGCAGGTGGATACCCGAGGCGCAAAGCCGCCATCAGCAGTAGATCCCACTGAATCGCGTCATAAAAACCGCGGACGTCCAGCATGCCATGAGCCAAGGCAACCCGCATGGCTGCCGCAACCTCGTCGCCCAGCGTGCGGAAGAAGGCCTCCTGGAGGGAGGCGTTGCCGAGCACCGCCGCGTCCCAGCCCTCCTCAACGACGCTGGCCCATTCACGGACCTGAGTTTCTCGCGCGAGAGACCATAGGCGGCCCATGACCGAAGTGAGGCCTATGATCCTATCCCCGTCGGTTTTCTTCGGAAGTAACTTCCCGATGATCAATTGTGTCTGGTGGGGCCAAACCAGAGCCGACTCAAAGTAGTTGAGCATAGCAGCTAACTCATCCAGCCCTTCACTTGGCACCTCTCGAAATCGGCTGGCGTGAGGCGGTCTGCCCCAAGCCCCGTCTTGCTCTTCATGCGCCTGGCTGCAGCACGCACCTCCGATCCAGTGATGGGAGGCAGGGGCTCATCAAGAGCCGCCTCGCGGGCTGCCGCAAAAGCCTGGCTCAGCTTCTCGGGGTCGTGCGGCCGAGCGTTCCAAATCGAACTCCACTGGCTACCCTTGGCGTCGAGGATGTCCTTCGGGTGTGTGAGGGTAACCTCGCCGACGATGACCTCCTTCTTGGGAAGTGGATCTTCTCGCAGGGACCGATAGACGGCACCAGTGCGAGTCGCGTCGGCGAGCCAAGACTTGAAATCCGTGCGAGACTCACGAACGGCACGACGGTGGGCTCGCTGTTCGATGCGATCAGCCAGCTGCTGAAAACTCTCCAACACCCTGGCCGTGCACCCACCGACGTTGAGCAGCAAGCTAATCCACTCCTCAGCCGTGGGCTCGACGCCTGGCGCGATGAAGCTGGGCCAGCTGCTTGAGCCCGCTATCGCGGCCCAAGTGATTGACAATCTGCTGCAATACGGATGGCGCTCGCTTCCACCAACTTGTGACCTTGTCGCGGAGGGCCGTCTCACGCTGCCGTCCACTATGCCTGACAGGCTCGGTCACGAAACTGCAACCCTCGGCCCGACTTGGGCCGCCAGCGGCAGGCAGCTGATGATGCAAGAAGATGACCTGCTCGAGTGTGGTAACCCACTGCGCGTACCAAGAGCTCGCTGATCCCACGTGCTGTGGGCTGAGCTTAAAGGCTACGGAGGAGGAACAGAAAGCAGGAGGGGGGGCAGCAGTGAGACCCTGATTTCTAGCACGACACTGTGCCCACAGCTCAGACGGGATGCGGAACGATGGCTCACCCTGAGACGACGGGACTCCCGAACTTAAATCAGGGGTTGCATGCGAGGTACATCCTTTGGCTGGGGGGGTCGATCCCTGAAAGACACTATTAGCACTGGCGGCCTGAAAATCATGAGGCAACGCGTCAACCTTATCACGTGAAAGGACGATGCTGACGACCGAAGGCTCATTTTTCCTGGGCACCACAGAAATTGGCCTCGAGACCTCATGGGTCCTCCTCCTCCTCAGGCCAGGCCGCACCGTCACCGTCGGCCTCTCCGCAAAATGGATCGCCAGCAGTGGTGCCGACAGAGTGCACCAACTGAGCTGGGTCTTGCTGGGGGCTCTCCTGGCTCCCGACGTGCGCACCGAAGAGAACGCCTATCTGTTCATTACGAGTGGCCCTAGCTGCTGCAACCTTAGCCTGCTTAGCTAACTTGGCTATGGAAGACTTGGAGCCCGGCACGGGTAGAGTACATGGGCGCGCCACCTGCGGGAGGCGGCTGGGGCAGACGCGTCTGCGGGTCAGCAGTT